AAGATAGACAAGAATTTAAATAGGAAAAATAGTAAGTAAAAGTTACACATTAACTTTTTGTTTTTATAATATATTAATTAAATAATATGTGGTAATGTCACTCACGTGTTGTTGATGAAATGAATGTCACCTCTCATAAAGAACCAAAATTAGTAAAAATCTTCATAAAAAAATGTTACTATTATGTGTTGTTTTTTTAAATAGTTTAACTTGTGATACATCTCAACACGCGTTCTTATGGATTTTTACAAACTTTACGAAATCAAAGACTGGACATGTGCAAAGGTTGTAGAATATTATCATGCAAACTTGATGCAAAAGGATTGGACAAGTGTGCTTGACAAAATAAAAAAGGATCTTCAAATTGTAGCCTCTTCAGTTTCAACTTTTGACATAAAGTGTAAAAGAAAAGCTCAAAAAATTATTGATAGCTGGAAGGTATAATAAAGAGTTTTGAGTGGTTTAGGAAAGCTGTGACTGTTAGTCTACAGTGATGAACTGCTTTGCTTTATAAAAGTCACTCTCCTTATAGTGACAGCCCGTTATAATTGCATTTTTTAAAAACTGAATTCCATGAATATAAATTTTCGCTCGTTATAGTGGCTACCATTTGTCCCATTATATGAATGCCATTATAATGGAAATGATACTAATAATCCTAGAATTTCGTTTTATTAAGATTTGGACCGCTTCGATGAAAGAGGCGAATGATAGTCCACAGTTTAAGATTGAATATCAGAAATAAGCTTCAAATTTTCTTCAATTAGGTAAAACAACAAATCCTTGCGACTGGAAATGCTACGATCAATGTAAATGATAATCGTCACACAGGACATTATCGAGATGAAGTTACGGCTCAGGTGAGGTTAAGATTAAAGGCACCTCCTAAATTTATTATATAAATGAAGATAACCTTTTTTTTTGAAGATAAACCTTTTTTTTTTTTTTGGTGCATATAGGTCGAAGCTACTACAGTTGACTCTGGCTATACCGAACCTGGCTATACCGAACTCTGGATATAGTGAATCAAATCTCCAGAACCGAATT